TCTGGGTGCCTTGCCCCTGTACCTTCACTATTCTCCAAGTTTCTCTTCCTTCCCTTTCATTATCTTGCTCTTATCAGCACTGTAGATATGAAAGGCAGGAAAGAATACAGGAAAGAGACTGAGAAGCAAAGGGTCAAAGTTTGCTGGGACACATCACTCCCCATAATAAAGGGATCCTGCAGCCTCTTGCAGGTTTGTTAACTCGTTTTTCCACATAAAATGGAGTAAGGGTAACCAGTAAGTGAGCATGTACTTAAATGCCAGTATTTAACCAGCTTTAATTCTTTCCTGGGATATAGCTGGGAAAACAGATAAGGTGTGCATTTCTTATTTCTTGCCTGACCTGATTATTTATTTACCCTAGGTACACCAATACTACTTTTAAAATGTGCTGTGTTTTAAAAAGAGCACTTTGCCCAACCAATCATCAATTAGAAATGTGGGTTAGTAGAGTAAGGTAATGAAAGCAAGGGGGTATTTCAAGGGAATGAGATCCACATCTTCATTAATATCAGAAGATCTCATATTTTTCCTGTCTGTATAAAATATACAAAATGGGAATAACTAATGACATGATCTCCAAGAGGACAAATGGCCTCAAAGGTATCACTGGGACTCAGTGAAGTGGAACTTTACCCTGGCACATGGGTATATTTTGTTCAAAGGAAGGAGATCAGAGGGACACAAAGGGGTATGTGTCTGTAGAGGTATGGAAACTCCACCAGAAACTACAGTGATTTTGTGTGAGTGTCACAGAAAGAGCAGAAGTGAGGGTGTGCAGGGCACAGGAGGATGATTGCATGTGAGGTGTAGATGGTCTCTCCTACTTTGGGTCACAGAACTGGGATAGAGGTGAGAAAGAACAGTACTAAGGGGCTTCAATCATCCTCCAACCAACAAGGCTTACTACATAAAACAGAGGAACTGGTAAAGGCAATGGTTAGACTTGAGGAAATCATATTCCTTTAAATGTAGAGAAAAGATAAGTGGGAACCTGTGGTCCGTGACCCTAAGAAGGGAGAAACTCAAGAGGGATAGTGGGCTCTGCAAAATGAACTGAACTGTGGCTAATCCCAGGAAGCAGGCAATGGGGACACATTTCAAGGTGCTGCTGTGTTTTTCATGACGTTTGGTTTAGAAAAGAACATGTACAAAGATAAAAGAAAGGGCACAGTACCAGGGACGAATGGAGAAGAGTGACACATTTCTGTGAGAGTAGTGCCCAGCTTGAGCTGAGGCTTGAAAAAAATTGCTAAAGTTGTAAATAAAACAAAACAAAACAAAACAAAACATGGTGGTAGTAGATTATTCTTAGTTATGATTAAAAGAGGGATGAGGCCCAGGACTTAGGGATCATGGCAGCATGTAAATGGGGCAGAGAAAGTAAGATGACCCAATTCCCATGTTATGTCTCGCCTTTCCATAAAAGCACAATGGTCTAAACTAGGAAGATGTAAAGAAGTGGCACTAAGGGAGTACGGGACACGAAGGCATGCCAATGAGTGCTGTGTTTCCTTAGTCACATTAAGTCCAAATCTCCTGGCCCTGCAGTCCCCCATCCAGGCCCCTGGACAATCCTACAGAACAAGTAACAGAGCCAATGTGCTTGATCCTTGAAAAAACTCCTGCAGACTGGGAGGGTTCCAACAGAGTGTCCCAATTTAGCCAAGGGAGAAAGATATAGTTTCTACTATATGTAAAAATATAATTTAGAGAAGATTTTTAAAGCCCTTTCAAAAGGATGACAATTGAGAACTAGCACAGGTTTGAGAAAAACAAGACAGACCAAGTAACTGCATTGGCTTCCCTCCCCTCCCACGCAAGGGCACAGGCTGGGGAGGGCTGTGTGATGACTGGGCTTTGGCCACTCCTGAGCCTGGGGCACTATCTCAAGCCTCTGTGCCTTTGTTACATAGTGTTCCTTCAAGTGGAATAACCTTCCCTTTGTCTGGCTGTTTGTTCTTCAAAACTCAGCTCAAACTGCACCTCCTCTGGGAAACTTTCTCTTCGGCCCAGTATGATCTAGAAGTCCCTCCTACAGCCTGATTGATTGTGTTCTCCCAAATTCATATGTTGAAATTTCCAATGTGATGGGTAGAAGGTTGGGCTTTTGGGAGGTGATAAGGTCCTGAGAGTAGAGGCCTCAGCAATGGAATTAATGCTTTTAAAAAAGAGTCCCCAGAGAGTTCCCTATCCCCTTCTGTAATACATAAAGGTACCATATGAAGATACAAAGAAAAATCTGTTACCAGAAAGAGGGCTCTCACCTGACCATGCTGGCACCTAAATCTGACTTCCAACCTCCAGAACTGTGAGCAATACATTTCTGCTTCTTATAAGCCCCTCAGACTGTAGTATTTTGTTACAACAGCCTGATCAGACTAAGACAATCCCTTATCCGCGGTCTCTAAGCACTCTGGGCACTCTACTATCACAGCACTCTCTCCCTGAATTACAACGACAGCTTCTTTATCTGCCTCCTCCAGTGTCTGCAAGTCCAGAAGGAGGTTGTAGTTTCAAAGCCTGGCACAGGGCCAGGTACACAGGGGACCCTCAAGACATGGTGATTGTTGGCAGGAGTTCTGTTGAGAGGTTCAAAGTCAACCTGAAGGGAGTTGTCTCTAACTGTGTTCCAGGGACTTCTCCAGGTTCAGACTTTTACCAGTGACTTGGAGAAATAATGTACTTTCAGAGGCCATAAAGCTGGGAAAGAAAGATAATTAGATAAAAGTCTCAAGGTTCAAGATCTAACAATCTACAGTGTGGCCATAAAACTTGAAAACATAGACAAGTTTTTTTTATATTGATTGATTTTTTCATTTTTCTGTGGCATGCGAAGGCACAGGTGTTTTTGTCTTGTTTTGGGATAAAAATCAGAGAAACATCATCTGAGGCAATGCATCACAGACAAATATGCAGACACTGAGGAAAATGTTGCATCAATGCATCCAAGTCACTGAACTACGCTCTGAACTATACATTACTAAAGAAGGACAATACGTTGAATATATTGTGTAATGTCACTGACCACATTGCACATTATAATGTAATATTGGTAAGCCATTTATTATGCATGTTCTTCTGTGTTTCCAGAATTTATGGCTACTCTGTAGAAAGACATCTGAAACTAACAATAAAATTTTAATATAAATATTCATGAAGCTTTATGTTAGGTCTCAAAAAAGTTAATTGGATATCTACAGTATGCAGAATATCTGGCTTTATTCATCCGTCCATTGATCCATCCATCCAGCCAGCCATACTGAGCACTCACAATATGTAAAATACTGTAGTAGGATCTACAAATTTAGTGAAAAATAAACATTGCTTTTCTTGAGCTTATATTCTAGTAGAGAGAAATGGATAATAAGTAAGCAAACAAAATAGTTTCAAATGTTGATGAGAGCTATGAATAAAATAAAACAATGTATGATGGGGTTAGGTAGCTGCATCTCTAGAGCGTGCAGGAAGTTTATGTAAAGACGATCTTGGTGGGGTCTGGCTGGCACCTTGATGTGATTCTAGAATGTGTTGTGACTGTTCAAAATAAACTGCAAGCTGGGTCACAGTAATAGAAGCAGAGCACTGAGGTTAAGGGCAGTGACAATCTTACTGCTTCTGTAGCATCTACAGCACGTCTAGACCAACTTCTGCAGTAGCAAATACTATTCTTTAGAAGAGTCATGGCATGTATCTAGAAAACACATCTTATGAGGCCAGATTGAGAGAACTATGGGAATTTAGCTAGCAGAAGGAACCACTAGGTAGTCATCTTTAAAACATCCAAAGATTCAAGATGTTGAGAAGAGAACAAGTCCCTGCTATGTGACGCCAGGAGTCTACACCTGAGTTACTGAGGAAACAGCACAGTGTAGTTCAAAAGAGTGGGGACACTTCTACTAGAATTAGATCTATACAGAAATGAGAGAGGCTTTTGAAGAAGTATTCCAGCAGAGGATGGGTTAAACTCTTTTAAAGATGAGGGATCCCATATTGGGCAAAAGATTCCCTTTGTGGACATAGCTTTGGGAAAGAAGCACAGTTTTGTTTCTTTGAGTGGAAGATCTTTTCATCTTGGAATGCCAAATCATCTTTAAAATATTTGAGCCTTAACAACAATCACACCAAATCTTTTGGATCTTTCCTTCCTCCTAAGAGCTTTTGTTTCCTTGGAAGAGTGGTTTCTTGAAGAACAGAGACATTGATCTGCCCCTAGTCATAGGTGTCTCTTGACATTGGAGCAGAATGATGTCTTTGTGGAAGGCCTGGTTCCTTGTAGGAAGATGTGGACTCTTGTCCTTCCTTGCCTCAGCGACAGTGAGGTGGTAAAGAGGGGACCCTCTGACTGCTTACCTTATGGTTAATATTAAGAAGTAACCTCCACTCACCAATACTTCAGAGACCCAACACCTGGGGACCAGAAATTATGTCAAGACTCCCAACTAGAATTCAACTAGAAACGACTGCATGATCCTTTTTCTCAAGTCTCCTCATTGTATGTGTATTTGCATGTCAGTGTAAGTGAAGCTCTCTGAACTTGTCACCTTCCAGTATGAGCTGACTGTACCTTGAGGCTCAGGTAAAAGGCTCAGTTCTATGTAGAAGCATGATCAAGCTTCCTCTTACGCAGAAGACCTTCCCTTTCTCTGGAGTGTGGATTTATCTCAGTCAGAGAGGTGCTCCACTTTCTGTTTTAAATGCTGTTAGACTGTGTTTTCACAAAAAGGTTCAACTGAACTCTAAAGCGTATACAGAGTTGGCTTAATTGCTCTGCGTAATCATTTTATGATTATAACTTGATAGTATATCAATTCTATCTCTACTCATATTTGGTTTGCTATAATAGAAACTAAGTCAAAGCCATTTAGATCAAGGCCTCAGGCAGAAATTAACTTGAATCTCAGACTAACATATGTTTTGTCTATTTACCTTGTGAATAAAACATGTGTTTTGAAGGACAGAGGAGAATATGGGATACAAGGTTAGTAAAAAACCCATACCTGAGCCACAGACAACAAAAACAAACAGTGCCAACAGCCATGGTCCCACAGGGTATTTTTCTTCTTGCGGTCTCTAAAAGAGAATGGGAGAAAGTAGGATTAGGGTCATTAATTCAGGGAACATTGAGTACTGCTAGTTACTGTACTAGGAACTGGGGCCTCCACTGTAGATAAGACAGACTGAGTGTCAATGCCCAATGAACAGATAGAGATGAATAAAGTCAGTTGTAAAGGATAAAGGTTTAAAAATATTCATCAATAACCTTACTTACATTCCTGTAACTCAATGAACTTGGTGGTCTTAAATAGTCTGGGAACAGGATATAAATACATAAGACCAATACAGTGATTTGGGAGCCAAAAATGATATTACTAATAATTACTTCCATTTGTTGAAAGTACATTCTATGTCAGATGCTTACTAAGAAGTCTACATCCACTATTTCCAGCACTCACAACTCCATGCAACCCTATTCTACACTTGAGAAGTGAGGCTCAAATTTGTTAGCTTGAGCAAGAGCTGGGATTCAAATTTAGGTCTGCCTCATTACAGAGCTTGGGTATTTTCCACTGATAACCTTCATTAAAATTTTTAAAAATTTATTAATTTGAGAAAGAGAGAAATATCACTTTGTTGTTCCACTTTTTAACCCATTCATGGGTTGCTTTGCATTTGTGCCCCAACCAAATACTGAACCTGCAACCTTGGTGCATCTGGATGACACTCCCACCAACTAAGCTAGCCAGCCAGGGCCAACATATTCATTTTTAACTCTTGCATCTGGAATTCCAAGTAGGGTCACAGAGCACAGCCATGTTCTCAAAACCTATGTGCTAAAAAATTTGAGAAGGCAGTGCAGTGGAAATCCTTGGAATCATAGAAGTACCACAGCAACTGTGAATGGATGTGAGAGAAGCAGCATTTTTAATAAAATTCCTAATATTTGTGAAGCTTACACTTTGGAGAAATTTCTGCATTCCCTGGAATGCAGAGGGGTGCTGTTGGACCCATGCCAATCCAGCCCTCCATGCCTCCTGCTCTTCTCAAACTCAAAGCAGAGACGTGATAAGAACATCCCTCTGCAGCCCCTCTAGGTCTACTGCAGGTAGGGTTTGGTCCTTAAAAATCAAATCAAATGATAGAAGAACAAAATTTTTTGACAGCCTTCTGAAAACACAGTGAATTTCTCAAATAAAAAGGGAGAAGGTAGAGTGAAAAAAGTCGTACTCACTATTTGCTCATTAGTGTGAGCCCAAAATAGGCCATAGACAATACAAATTAAAGAACTAATTTTTATTATAGATAAGACAACAGTTCTTTGGCTCACAGCTTACTGGTTAACTTTCTTAGAGAGTCTTCTCTCTTTTACCTCAGTTGGTTCACTTTTCATTTATGTTGCCACGTACTTTTTCTTGATATTTATCACAGTTTGTATCTCTATTTATTTTTGTGATAATGTGTTTAATGTCTGGCTCACCACTAGGCTGCAGGCCGCACAAGGGTAGGCACTTTCTCTTTCACATATCACTGTATAGCAATGCCTAATATAGAACTTAAACATAGTAGATGTTTAATAAGTGTTAATTAAAGAAGGAATAAGCATACAAGGTTCATTAAACATGATTTCTTAGGTCAGGTAAAGACAGAGTCTAGGAAGGATATTGTCTTTTTTAATATACTTCCTAACTGGTGATATGGTTATCCTTGCTTTTGTTTTTTTTTTTACTAGAGAAGTATGGATTCAAGTGTCAGTGGCAGGGAGACTCTAAGGATTGAAACCACTCGCTTCTCTGTCCTTGATAGGCTCATATCTACCACAGCTCTTGTATGAGGGCAAATCACACTGCAAGGAAAGACATGGTTGCTCTTGACTAGACAAGGACAAAATCAGCTTTAAATAATTGCATAAGATAACATTAACTAGCATTTTTATCGTGTCATGCTTTAGCACTAAAGACCAAGTCAAAGTGAGGTCAAGTAAATAGTAGACATATTAAATAAAGTTACCTGAACAATGTGTGACATTTATCCCTTCCCATCCTCTTTCACTAACTTCCTAACAATTTGTCATGATTGACCAGAAACCAACTCTGTTGCTGTCATCCTTCTAAAGTTATATGAAAATTCATTTTGCCCCATCTCCAGCAAAGCCAACAAATGAATTCAGAAGCTTGAAAATGAATTATTGGTCTAGTCATGTACCAAATGAAGTCCTTTATTTTTTCTTTGCAGAAAAACACAAATTATTAACATGCAGAGCTTAGAGCAAAAAACCTTTTTGATGACATTTCCCAGCGAAGCAATATTATTTGGGAACTTTCAGAGCTCAAGAACACCCCGGTGATCATAATACCAATATATCCTTTTTGAGAGTCTACGTTACTTTTTGGGGGGAAGTGGTGCCCAGCACAGTCCCATTGGGACAATTCACCTGACCCTGAATCTATTGCTGGGAAAGGTAAGAAAAGCAGTAGAATCTCACAAATTACATGGTTCATTTCAAATAGGAGTTGCTACTTCCTGAGGCTCCAAAATGTCAGGGGATGGCTTTCCCTGTGATAACAGCAGGGTAACTCAGAACTCTGAAATTTAAATTCCCTCTTCATTTTGAAGAAGTTACTACTGTATAATCATGAAATGATTATTCCATTTCTCTGTTTCTTGGCTTTATCTGCTATCTGGGGGAATAATATTGATTCACTCCATAGCTATTGGCCAGTAATAAAATACTGAAGTATCTGCATACAATTAAAGGGCTTTGCTTCTGATGATTAGTCCAAATTTTCCATTAGAATCTGTTTATCTGTCTCCATTTACTGAATTGCATCTAAACAAGTTATCCCTTGCAAGTTAATTCTTTCAAGGTCTAATCATTTTGGCCTATAATTAGGAAAATAAAATTTAAGATTTAAAGTGTTACTTTTTAAAAGACAATTTCATTTTTTTGTTTTTGGATGCTGATCCATTTATAATAAAGCTAACCAAAAGCTCTCCTAACCAAAGGAAAATAAACATACATCGTGGCTTGGTTTGGAAACCTTTCATTACAAAATTAGTAGGGCCATTTAAAAATATTCACAGGTGCTAAGCACTTTTGAAGGGCCTATTCCATGGTATGTCAGAACTTATTAAAATGCACTCATACCACAGATTAAATATCATTTGAATGCAGTTCTGAAAGTTGTGTTAACTCGAACGGCAGGTGACTACATTTTCTAGATAAATAGGTTTTCTCCAATTTTTTTCTATTTTCTTTTATATTAGAGCCAATAATTTTCATTTCAGGTCCCAAACAAAAATTACAGTGTCCTGAAAAGCTAGAAGTGGCAGATACTGAGTTTACAAAGCCTAATGGGTAAAACAGCTCTGCAAATTAGTTCCTGTTTTGTTACTACTTTTACAGTCAGATAAGTTATCAACCAAGTTCAGTTAACAACTGAATGCTGGTTCTTTAGTTCATTAAAAAGAATCACACAACTAGAGATTTTCAGTATTATCAGTTAGTGTATACGATATCCTAGGAAGAGTTGATATCCTAAGGATATAAAATCTTGAATAGTTAACATCAGTTAGAAATTGACAATGTTAATGAACAGCAAGTGTTTTTGTAAATAAAAATAAATAGGGAAAACAGACTTACGTGATAGATGGTTCTAATTCAAAGGCACATTGGCATTTTGCTGGCCACTCATAACTAAATGATCTAACTTTCAAGTGAGAAAATTTCAAGCATGACTTAAACCTGGAGCTGTGCACAAAGGCCTGAGTACAGCTGAGTTTGATCCTAAGGTTTCCCTGCCATAGCATTGCTTAGTTTTGCAAGAATTCTGGTCTAATGATTGTGGATTCAGCTTTTTGCTCAGTTAATCAAAGCGGCATCATTTCTTTGGCTAAAAGGACTTGTCTCATCAAATCTGCATGCTTTTGCAGCCAAACCCCGAGCTTCAGTTGGATTTTCATTTAAGTGCCTTTGCTCATAGTCTTGGAGACTCACACTGCTCAACAATTCATCCAAGGCATGCTTCTGAATGTCCAAAATCATAGGCCTAGCATTTTCTGTTGAAGATAATTTGCATTGCTAAAAGGAACCCCAGTGCATAAGGCACAATTTTACTTAAAACTTGCTGTAAAGTTTTAATCTACAGTTTTGAGGGCACAGAATGCCTGGCAATAAACTAGTCTCTAAAGTTCTGGATCATACCATCAAAATGGGCCTGAATTCACAGGGTGAACAAGAGGAAAGTTGCATTTAAACTTAAGCCCAGACTTAAGAGGCCTCACTAGAGAAAAGGCAAAATAGGAGAATGGAGGGAAATATGGGCAAGAATCTCATGCCGCTTTTCCAACTTACACAGAGAAAACATGATAAAGGGACTGGAAAGAAAAACCCTGGTGTGTGTTGGTTGGGTATGTGCAAGGGGTGAAGCCTGGGAACGGGTGATGATAAATAGCATTTATTAATTCATTCACTCACTCACTAATGCACACATTCATCACTTATTTAACAAACGTTCTAGCACCTAACAAGTTCAGGACCCTGTGTCAAGCAGTTGCCTTAACAGTTCCTGTAACTGCGATTGCCCTCTTCCCTAGAGACAAAGGCTGAATTCTCGCTCCCGTGGTAGCCCCATCAGCCACCCCAAAAGGGTCATGACCAACCAGGGTCCTCTCCGTTCACGCCCAAGACAGCACCGAGGAGTCCCGCGCCGCCCTGAGCCTAGCTCTCCTAACCCATTCTGCCCGCTTGTCAGGAGGGGCGAGCCGGGCGCGGAGGAGCTGGGAAGACAGGTCTTAAGCCCGCAGCCGCCCCGCCTGGCCTGGCCCGGCCCCGCCCCGCCCCGCCCCGCCCCGCCCCACTCCACTCCACTCCACTCCACTCCACTCCACTCCGGGCGCAGCCTGCTCTGCCGGCTCTGCACCGCCTCCACCTTACCAGGGTTTTGGCTACGTTCCCCCTCTGGGTGATGTTTTTGCTGTGCTTCTCATTAGCCATGCGGATCCGCTGTTTGGCCACCATGGCTTGGGCTCTTGGAAGTGCTCTCAGCTCCCACCTGCAAAGATGCCCCGCGTGAGCCCGGTACTGGGCCGAGAGCGTCCGGTGGGCCCCGGGCGCTGCAGGTGGCAAGAGGCGGTCCTCGAGCCTCGCGTAGCCCGCTCCCCAACCCCTAATGAGCCAGCTCCAGAGAGAGGCCGGAGCTCGGACGGAAGTAATCTTTCATCTCAGGAAACCCTCTCCTACTTCCTCGCCATCCTTCCGGTCCCCCCAACTACCTAACCAGCGCGGCCGTAGGCTGTGCCGCTGCGCGTACTCCCGCACCCAGTGGCCAGAGAGCAGCGCGCGGACCCCCTCGGGCCCTGGCGGTGTCGCTGTCTCGCGGGGGAACGCGGCGGGTCCCAGGGTTCAGCGGCTGCGGGCTTTGTGTGCGCAAAAGGGATGCGGTCTCAGCCGCCTATGGGTTCCTCGGCCAGGGATCCGCCAAGTCCTGAGGAAAGGATTGGGGTGTGGATGCACCTGCACCTCTGTCCCCCTGGCCGAGGGCTGGACCAAAGCCTAAGGTCGGGTCGGGGGCGGGGGCGTCCTCAAAAGACAAGTAGGACCAGTACAGGGCTGAGCTCCATGCTGTTGTGGAACAGTCCAAAGGAACCTCCCCTTTAAGTGTCTGAGGAAGGCCCCTGTGCTAGGAAAGCCCACTGCAGGATCTTTCTCAAATGCTGCAGAAAGGGTCAGAACTCCCCAGGGATGAGGATAAGGGGGAGTGAGGATGGAGGTTGGGCAGGTCTTGCTTTGATAGGTATGAGGGTTACATGGAAGACAGGCCTGCAACATATCTAAGTGAAACTTGGAGAAAGGATGAGGAGGTCATGGGCCTGTAGCCCAAGTCAGATTGCGTGGTCACTGCCCAAATGTGGGTAGCTTTGACTAGCTTTGGCTCCCTACCTGCCGCAAGCAGCCAGGATTTCCTCCCGCCACTCCCAAGGGAAGTGAACTGGGAAATTCCCTGCAGTACAGCGATACATCTCAAAGATCTATGTGACTCACAGACATTCCTATTAGGGCTTTACAGATTGCCTAGTTGGGTGGGGATGAGGGGAAGTTCAGTCCTTTACTTTTCTACATGCTATGCAGATCAGAGTTATCTCTTAGAAGCTTAGAAGAGTTGAGAAGAGGTGAAACTTCAGCCTGGAAGATTTGGGGCAGTGGGAAGTGGTAGGGAAGAAGAGCTGTGGCTTTAGACCAGATGTGGGTAGTGTGCCCTCGCCCTTCCCTTGCAGGCGCTTGTGGCTGCGGTTCTATAGGATTTGTATGGGTAAAATTCCTCTGTGTCAGTGGGAAGTTAAGGAGAGCTCCTTTTTTTATTTCAGGGCCTTTTACTAAGCTCATCCCCATTTCTCTCACCACTTCTTATCATTCAAGCTTTAATACAAACTGTTCTGGGCTGCTTTTGGTAACTTAGAAGACAGAATTTCTCTCAGATTATTAGTCAAGTCTGGTCATTCTTTTTTCTACTCTAGAATTCAGATAAGTTTCCAGACTGGCTTCTATCAGCTTCTTAATCATTACCACCAACATTACCACCATTATTATAGAACTACAAACAAAGTAGGCCCAACTCGAGTTCCACGCTTTTAATAACAATTGACTTTGGGAGGGGTGGGTAGAGGGATGGAGGGGGCACCACTATGTCAGCGACTCTTGCTGAGCCTGGCTGTGTGCGAGGGCCAGCAAAAGGCCTGGGCAGGAGGCATAAGGTAGGTCCCCACACCTGGGTGGAGTACAGACCTGGCTCTGAGGTGTTCCTGACATTAAAGAAAAGATACAGAGATGGTTTTCCCTTTGGGCCTGCAAGAGTCTTTCTTAAATGAGACACTTGCCTTCCCACAGGCTCAGGTGAGCTGCCTTATTTGGGAAAAAAAATTTATCTTAACTCCTGATTCCTGCTTGTTAATGACCAATTTTACTCCTTTGCCTGCTATACTTCACTTGATAATGCTTTAAGTTAGTTTAGTTACAAATGCAACACACTCCTTTGCCTGCTATACTTCACTTGATAATGCTTTAAGTTAGTTTAGTTACAAATGCACCTTGTGACAAACACAAGGCCTGTGGGCTGAATCCGACCCTCCACCTTGTTTTATCCGGCCTGGCACCTTGTTTCTACCCAGCAGCAGCACGGAGCTCTCGCTTAACTGTTAAGGAGTAGTTACATTCATACAGTCCTAAAACTACATTCAGCCCTTTGAAGGCAACCGCAAGGCTGATGTGGGCCCCCAATGAAAATGAACTGATATCCCTGAAATACACTGTATTCCCACAGTAAACATTCAAACAGAAAAATGATATGAAGTGAAAAGTAAAGGTCTCCTCTTCCCTGCCTCCCAGCCACTAATTCCAAAGGTCTATAAGCTCCCCTTCCAGTATTTTAATTCATACACAAGCCTTCCTACAGTCCTTTATTAAAAAAAATCATACTATATAGTTTTGCCACTTGAATTTCTCACTTAATTTATTGACAATATTATCACATCTCATGTCACTCTTTTTTAAATATAGCTGCATAGGACCTCATAATATGATTCTACAGTAAACATGTTCAACTAACTTTGGATGGTTATTTCCAGTTTTTTTGTTTGTTTGTTTTTGTGGTTGCTGACAATGCCTTAGTAAATACCTTGGTACGTGTATCGTTGTGCATTCACGCAAGTGGAACAGATTGCTGGAAGTGAAATTCCTGCACCTTTGCATGTCCTTTGGTAGTTACTGCTGCTGGTTTTGGATGGGGCAGCCTCTTGCTGTGGCCTCCACTTTACCCACCCATCCCCAGATTTTTCTCTCTGCAGCCAGGCCTGCTCCTCTGAAGGTCATGGTTTTTGTTTGTTGCCTTGAGGATCACCATTCTTGATGAAGAAAAGTTTTCCTTCCAAGCATGAATACTGTCCCTTCCTCTGCACAGCCAGATATTGAGCTGCTCATCCCAGAGGCCCTTCTGCAGGGGAGCTGAGGCCAAGGTCTGAAGCAGTGTCACTGGAGTTCCAGAGGAACCACATGATTAAGAGTGAGGAAGGCCTGGGGTCACCTTGCTTTTCTGAGGTGGGATGGACTTCTGGCTGAATAGGAGGGGAGTGGAAACTTGATCAAGAGTTAAACTTCCTTTGTGGTAGCAGTATTTTATGACAAAACCAGTAGCCTGCAGTGCTCATCTGCAACTTCTAAAATTGCTTGAGTAAAGTAGCAGAAACTGCTGATTAAAATTTAATTTTGATTGGTAATTTTTTCAATCTTTAGAGCAAAAGTTCCTAACAAGCCTGTGTACATTAATCATGAGTCTGCCCCAGTTAGGGCACTGGGCCTATGACTGTAGAGACTGAATTTTACCCACCTTTATAAACTATGTATCATCAAAGCAAACAGATGCTACTGAGCTGTGATATAGTGGGCACTTGTCATTTTCCTGTGGCTAACCAGGCTAAAAACTTCCTTTCTATTTGGGTTGCCACCCTGTGTGACAATTAGGATCTTCTTTCCCACTATGGGAGTCCAATGGGGACTCAGTTTGGCCAAACAGATGCTCCTGTTTGGAACTTTGAATCTTGAGCAGGCAGTGCAAAAATAAAAGGGCAACATTTCACCATGGTGGTGGGGTCTCTAAGAGGCAGCTGGTATTTAGCAGTTGGGTTGGTGGAGATGGTGGCAGTGGAACCAGTGTGTGTATCCTGCTTATTCTGTGGTACCTAAAATCCTTAAAATAAATTCCCTCCTGCTTCTATTGGCCAGAGTTTGTTTGTGTTGTTTACACCCAAGAATCCTGGCTAATGTACATGAAAATAAAGAGACCAGAATGTCATTCTTGGTCATTTCTCCTTCCAGATCTAGAGTGACTTCCATATCACTTGAAACTTTCAGATATTGTTGGCTAGTGGCCTCTCCAGCTTATCTCACCAAGGGGAACTTAGTACAGAGGCCTTGGTGACAGGTGCTTGGGGAGACAATTCTCCATAATGGATGAGAGTGATTGACAGGCACAGCCTGCATAACTAAAACCAGCAAATCACTTACCCTTCAAATTAATACTTTCATTTTCTTCCTCATCCAAATCATTTTCAATACTGCTAGAGAAGAGGAAAATGTGGCAGATCTCAGCATCATCTCCTTTTGTACATATTATTTATATTTTGGTGGAAATGTTCATGAAGGTGTCTCAATAGTGGGCAGAGAAGAGTGCTGACAGGCAGCCAGTGCTATCTGCTGCATGTGCTGGAATCAGCTCAGTGCACTAGATTATGATTTCATGGAACCATGCCATACTGTAGCTGGAAGGAAACTTTGGTGTTTACTGAATGTGTGCTATATGCCAGACATTCTTCAAGACATTGAGAATTCAATGATTGATACAAAAGTTTCTGCCTTTAGGGAGCTCTCAGTTGTGTGGGGAGACGAAGTAAACATTGGGAGACTGCCCTAATTTACCAAATGTGCAAAAACGTAGGAATTGAAAAGTGAGTTAATTGTAGCAGAGCTGAAAGCAGAGTTTAAGCCCCTTGGCTTCCTGTTTTCTCAAAAGAAACATCAGGTAAGCTTGAGTGGGAGTCCAGGTGACAGGACCCCCTGGCTGAACTTTGGAGAAAATAATGAATCACAGGTACGCACACACAAACATACACATGCGTGCTTGCTCCTGCATGCACACACAAATACTGCAGAACAAAAACTACATTCCAGACCCCTCAGGCTTGAACTAGGGTCCATAAATGGTGACACGAGAAAGACTTTGACCATTTAGAAAACTCTAAGTCCTTGACTCTAGAGGGGATCGGATTAAGCTTTAAAATGTAAATTGTGATTACTCATCTCCAGTCTGTAGTTTCCTGGTCACACACATCTCTTATTAATAGCGGTAAAACCATCATATCCGGAGGGGGGGAAAAACACGCCCTGCCAAAGTGCTTTGCCTAGTGACCTCTCATGGCAAACCTTTTCATGGCTGAAGAGATGGGAGGTGCCTCCACATGTTCAAGCTCAAGTTATGACTGTGTATAACTCATGACCATGTCCCTGCTAATTTCAACAGTGATTTCAGGACAAAGCCAACCTCGTTTCTGTTCAATTTGGTGCATGTTTCTAATGGCTGGAAGTTTCCTGGCAGAGAAGAAATAACAGTGGTCATAATGTCTAACATTTC